ACCTCGCGTTTGCTCAACAAAAATACGAAGAATTACTTGATCAATGCCGAGGTTAATAGAAAGTCGGTCGTGGGAGTTAACTCCACAAACTTCAGATGACGTGTTAAGTCGCCACCCATATCAGAAAATCTGCGCTTCTCCCATTTGGCGTTCATTTTTCGACTGCCCACGTAATTTTGCTAAAAAGTAGTTACCACAACCCATGACTTGTCTCCGTGGACCACAAGGAAGCACTGTCGGCAGCGACTTCTTCGACTGGTCCTCTTAACAACTTTATCTAGACACGATTTTAGGTTGAATATAAATATAAAAGCAAAAATTAATAGTCAACCTTGAGCTCAATGACGACATAGGGATCAGAACAAAGTAGATTTTCTCTGCACAAATTTGAAGGCCACATGAATCCACTCGCGATCCAAACAAAAACCTGTTCCAGAAAAAGAGATAGAACTGAGATACAGGCCCCATTTAGAAGCAAAATGTGGGATACCAGAGAGGGAAACCACACTGTATAATGTATTAACTCGACCTGTTTCATGACGATGTCAACTCTACTTGAAGTAATTGTTAACGAATACTGGGAAGAGTTGAAGACTCCCATAAACCCCGCTTTAACCTTGGCCTCTAAGAATAAGAAGCGTTCGGCTCCGAATGTCTAATTTTCAATCCTAATTTAATTACCAGTACATCACTTCATCTTGTTTCTCAACAACAATACTATTTCCATTCAAAGCAAAAATTTCACACGAAAAACATGATAAAGAATAGATAATTGATTGGAGATCCACAGAAAGCTAATCTATTGAAAAAGCAAGTGATAGCTCATAATGACGTCATTCACATTAGCAACAATAGTACTCAGAACCTTGTGTGCTTAAACCACATCGCTCGGCAATAAGTGACATTCCTATTAAAAACAAAAATTGAAAGGTCGCATAAGGCCACAGAGACCACAATACCTTAGAATCCATATTGGCTCATAAAATTAGACCACAATTGAGGCGTCTTCTTTCGAACTATTAAAACACAACAATCTTTTTTCAGTCGAAAAGACACCGCTGATATTTCGCCAGGAAACTTATCGACCTAGAATTTAACAGATTTAGTATCTGGAATACAATCTGTACATCAATTATACTTGAGAAAAGAACTCAGAAAAATTGCTTACATGTAATTAATTCAGTGATTAGTGAAGTCCTTCCAACGATTTACCGTCTCATCGTGACTGGGAGGTCTTCCTGGGGTGTCAGACTGCGATGTACAGAGGGGGATCCATCCTTGGCAGAGTGTCCCAAGTTGAGAAGGAGTCCCACATTTCCATCAGGAAGCCTAGCTAAGAGTAATCCAATGCCAGAATCCACCACCGTCCTGGTATAAAACTAGTCGCATGGTGGTAAATGACCCTCTGATCCACAAGGGCGGCGATTGCTTGTAGTGGTGACGACCTGGGGCAAACTTTGGCTAGCCTGGCCTCGGTAATCGATGGAACCACAGTGGCTAAACCAGCAATGCTCCGAAAAAATGGAAATTATCCTTGGGTCCACACAACCAGTGAAGACGGGTCATCAAAGTAATTAATGAAGCGCATAAAAACCTCATCAACTAATATTAACTAAACATACCTCATAATAACGTCTGTCCATAATTGTCTTGCTGGGTGGCTTTTGCTTCTTGTCCACTTTAACTATTTCAATGGTACAATTGAGGCTCCTGAAAAGAGTTAGACCTTCCAATTCTATCATACCGTCCAACGCTCCATAAATAAAGAACTAAAAGATTATGACGACGACTTACGATGTGTCACTTTTAAGAAATACTTGCGTATTTGACGCTTTCATAAACGTCTTTTCTCTAATTCCTGGGACAACAAGCTGAATTTGCAATTCGGTTAGCGAGTCGTCATATTTACCTGTAAGCAATTTCCACAGCAATTACAAAGTAAAGTGCAGCTTAAAATGCATTAAAACTTGATGACATCACCAGAAAGTAGTAAAGAGGAAGACGTAAAACTAAGCAAACAGTCGAAGACATCCAATGGTCCTCAAGAGAGCTAAACAGGCCTATTTAAACTCGCAGTCCCCAATCTTCACTTCCTCATTTTTTGGTTCTAATTAGGCATCCCAATTTTTCAGAAATTAGAAGTTAATCTAGTCCAACAAACCAAGCAAATAATAGTAATAAGAAAAGACGCTAACAAATTGGAAACCGTATTTAAAAGCAAACTTTAATCTAAAACTGCCTTAGGTGGTTCAATAACACTTACAAAACTTCGGAGTGTTCTCCTACAATCGTACCATCTCCTGTGTTTTCCATAAAGACTCTAAGTAGGAAATTTTCAAGAGAAAACTTACATCCTAGAGGTCCTGGAATAAAGTCGCTCTCAGTCTTATCATCTTGATAAGCGGAAGAACAAGCCATGATGTGAAATTGTTCCAAAGGTAGATAAGGGAACAAATAATCCACAGATGTACCCCAGTTGCTAGAGTCTCAGCATTGGTGTGTGCCTTCGAGCTTACTGAAAATGTTAACAAGTAACGTTTTAACAAGCAAATCATTTAGACTTACAAAAAGTAACTACTTCGGGAAGATATTTACACTTCCCTAAACATCTTTACAGGCAAAACATACGAATTGATCAATCACGACGATTCTTAAGCACGCCGTGTCAGAAGAAAACTTACATAGCAGGTTGAAAAGTACTTAGTGTTAAAATGATCACAGACTTGAAGAGGAAAGATAAATAAATGAAAGGATATTATCACCTGACTAGATTTCTTTGAAAGGTAAGAGCTCCACTAGAATAACACTGCTACAAAGTTACTGCCTAGAAGAATTTACTTGGCTTTTATGAAGAAATAATGTACTAAAGACATATTTACGACTGCACAGAACCCGGAATCAACGACTAAATCCCCTGAGATTAGTATAAAACTTACCATAAAAGTAGTTCTGGCAATAGTCGGAATGTTTCCTAGAAGCGTCTAAGCAAATGTCTAATGGTAATAAAAATAAAGGATAAAGCTCTTGGCGTTCATCAATCCCTGAGGGATGCGCCATGTATTCCGCCTTATTACGCATCGTTATAAGTGATTAGAAGCATGTCTGGCCTTTACAATGACTCGCGGTGGCCTACTGATGTATCGAGCCAGTGCTGCTCTCCTCTCAAACAAGTCTGGTACCAATTTGCCAACCTCTCGGGGATAGAAGGCTTGATGAGTCGCGGGCTCGGGGATCGATCCTTCGTGCGTGTTGCATGGCGCCTCCGACCACTGCGCCCCACGGGCCCCTTTTTCTTAATGGTAAGCTTATTTTCTTGTCCAAGAAAAGTTTTAATATCATCAGTCTATTTACTACCTATACGAAGTAATTTGGATATTTTTAATGAATCAATCAGTAAGATGTTGAGGTGGCAGTTAGTTGAGAATACAAAATTCATATTACGCTTAACAAAGACTAATTTATGCTTTAATAAATGAAGGTCTTTCGTAAGGCAGTCAGGTTACGGAGCACATGGTCAAATATGTGACAGAGAAAACAACATTGTGAGGTATGAAGCAGAAAAACGATGATTTCGATAAGACCAGACTCATTTGAAGACTCTCGAAAGACAACCTTAACAAGTTTAACTTTGAAAGGCAATTAAGTAATGATTTATCTCTTAGATTCGCAGAAAACCTGTCCCGACCAGCTAAAACTTGTTAGAAATATTTAATAGTAAGAACTTGTTAAGAACTGTTACGAACACAAACGTCTACTAGTAGGAACTTGTTAATACAGGCCTAACGCGCGCCGACTGGGATAACCCACAATTTGGACTCGAGCGCGCAAGATCGATTCGTTCATGGTCAAGTGGGTGCAGTTTGCATCAACGTAGTATCCAGAATAGCAACTACTAGTAAATGAAAACCAGTCAGTCAAGAAACAATGAGGATTTCCACCAAAAATCTACGTGACGAGAGTAATCCTCTTGAGAAATATAGGCTTAATAGAGTACTAGTCCGTAAATAAGAAGTGATTTCCTTTCCTGAAAAGCACTGAGTCCTCTCAACGGTTTACCGCTTGATCGCAGCTGGGAGGTACTCCTAGCTGGCAGGATGCGATTTAGACCAGGGAAATTTGTCCCCAACAGAGTCTCCCAAGCTAAGGAGTCCAGCGTTCCCATCAGGAAACCCAGCTAAGGGTAAACCAGTACCAATACCAGGATTCACCACCGTCCTCGTACCAAACTAGTCGCATGGTGGCAAATCTCCCTGTGATCCACAATGCGACGACTGCCTGTGGTGGTGACGACGTGGGCAGACTTTGGCTAAAAGTGACCTCGTGATTCCATTGAAGCACAATGGCTAGGCCAGCAAAACTAAACTCCGAAAAGGTGGAAATTATGCTTGGGCTCGCACAACCAATGAAGATGGGCCATCCAAGTATCCGAGTAGTAAGAAAAGCACTGAGTTAATTCTATTGATTGGCGGAAGAAGAATCATTTGAAGTTGAAAACTGCTGACAGACCTTTATCGAACTGAGACCTATTGAATCATCAATGTTTGCTAACGCACTCGTTACCGAAGAAGATGAACAGCATGTTTGAAATCGAGGATGACTAGGAGGATAAATCCGCTGTTGTCAAGTTTAGAAAGGGGTCTATCGATTTCAATCGTTTCTTCAATCAATATGTGACCATGACGGTAGCGTAGATCCTGTTTCCGACGGGAAATGCCTTAATCTGAGTGGACTGGATCGAAATAGAATGGCCTAATATAGACAGAATCCTGAGCATTTTATGTGAGCTACAGCCAAACTAAACATAGCCGTATGACGATAGCATGAAGCTACAGTTCACCACTTGTCTCAGTCTGACAGATTTGCAATGACGCCTAATTTTTTTTTGCTCAATTCTCTACGACCTCTATGGGAGTCGTACTGGTAACTGCTTCCACTAGAAATGACCTCCATAGATGTCATGTCCTCGCAAATGTGTCAAGCCTAGTCTCAGCACTTTTCGTGCTACGTTACCTCCGACGCACACGCGAACGCAACGCGACCGCTTCTATCTTCAGAGCTTTAGCGGTGTCACTTGGACGTGGCCAACTCACGTCAATGGGGAAGTTCTTTCCTTAGTTTCTACCTGGTTCTTGTCAGTAGAAAAGTTCAACTCTTAGTTTCTACTTAGGTCTCGTATGTTCTCGCGAGGTATTGACAATATTGATCCGCAGTCCGTCATAATAAAGCGATTTTTCTCCACTGAAGTACTATTGTCGCGTTTCGGTATTGTTTGTTACAGTTATGGAAGTACCGCGCCAATCTAATCTCAAGAGAAACAGTAATAGTCGAAATAGTCATTCAAAAAAAGTTTCCGCTAATTCTGAAGAGTCGACCGGTCAAGGTAAATTTATTCCGTTTCAGATAAATTTCCGATTACTTCTATATTTGCGAAATAAATGATGCCGAATAGGCCCAAGGCTGTTTCTAAACATCATTATTCTCTTTTCGTCTAGAAACTGTCTCATTTAAGATGGACGAAAAGTAGATTATGAATCTTGAAGAGTGGCTTGCGAAGATTTCTCGTAACCTACTGAGAACAATTCTTTATCATTGGTTGTTTGTTGGTAGGTAGCATAACCTTCCTGTGAGCTCGACATAGTTGAAGGTTTGCAATAGGAAATACTTATTTACTTGAATACTTTGGTGGCCCATCTTCACTGCTACTGCGGGTCCCAACACAATTTCCGTTTTTCGGAGTTTTTCTGCTCTAGCCATTGTGGTTCCCTGGAGTCCCGAGGTCAGCCTGGCTGAAGTCTGCCCCCAGGCCTTCACCACCACAGGCAGTCGCAGCCGTCGTGGATCAGAGGGAGATTTGCCACCATGCGACTAGTTTATACCATGACGGTGGTGGGTTCTGTTATTGGTTTACTCCTAACTGGGTTTCCTGATGAAAACGTCGAACTCCTCAGATTGGGAGACTCTGATGGGGGATAAATCTTCCGCTGTGCATCGTAGCCAGACATCCAGGAACTTCTAGCTACAATGAGCCGACAAACGGTCAAGAGGAGTAGGAAATAACTTAGAAAATTTCGCTAACTCTGCAGTTTTTTCGCTGTAGTTTTCTGAGAATAGCCAAGAGGTGTACAGCTACATCTGAGCTATTTTATAGCTCCAAAAAATTTTTGTAGTCCAGTAAGTTATCGTTGCTGTCCTGCAACAAGTACTCTATCAGGGCAGCAACGATACCCGTAGTGAATCGACCGTAACCCATATGAGTTATAATTTTACAGTAGTGAGTATTAGCTTTAATTTTATTTTCATGTTGGAAGTGGCTATTTTACAATTTTATTGACCAGCGATGTCGATACGTACATATATATATACACACGTATACATACATGTATATGTGTACATGCGTACATATATAGGCGCGTATATATGTATAAGGGGTGGATAGCAGTTGTTGTAGTGCCGATCATCGCGAGCCTGGTGTTAGTTCGATTCTCCTTCGGGCCAACCAAGTTTTTCATCGCTCTGTGGTCGGCAAATTGGTACCATATTTCTCTGCGAAAAAATCACTCTGCCGTTTAAGTGGAGGCGCGCTAGCCAGGCTATCGCAGGACTCTAGGAAGAATCGACTCGACCAGCACGACACTGGTCTGCGAAATTCGAGATAAAAGGGAAACCCTCAAGCAGCAACCGAAGCCAGACGTAAAAGTTGGAAGACTTTCGTGGATGAAGGATGCGAGGAAACGAATCGAATGTCAGAAGTGCTGGGATGCAAAGCAGACGTGAAAACGGGTCCTATGAAATAAAAAGAAAGATATGTATTTATGAATGCGATGTGTAAATATTCCCGGCATGATTTCCTTTCTTAGTGGGGAGTATGTTTTAATTTTTCTTTATCAGTTTTCCTCATCTCTTACTAACCTATATATGATATATATGCATATTTTATGTTGCGATCAATTGAAAACTAGAAGTGAACTTCAGTAATGGGTCAGCCAGTGCGGTGTTGGAGTTTTTTCGTTCTTTAATTAACGCTTATACAACTGCGCATACCCCCATCCACTCTATCTACTAAATTTTTAGGATACAATGGTAGAATTTCCCAGCTCTCTCGAGAGCGTTCTCGGAATCTTCAGTGTCGCAATGGTGTTAATATGAAGTCTTATGAACAAATGATTAGCTGCGCTAAGGTAGTGTTTGAACGTTTTCTATTGCTGTTTGTATCACGGTTCTACTCTATCCTGAATCTCAGTTTTCTGCAGCATCGAGTGACCAGTTTCCTGAACTTGTTTCAGGAAAACTTTTCCGATATCGTTCAAGGATTGGTGGGAAGAGAGGAATGTACGATATGCTGTAAGACTAACGATGTGTTCGGATTAGGTTTATGTAGGCACCCCGTCTGTATGGAATGTGCAATTCGTATCAGAATTCTTTCGAAAAATAACCAGTGTCCGATCTGCAGAACAAATGTGGAGACGGTGAGTTACACAAAGAGTTTTGTTCCGTTTTTAGGTTTGCTGTTCGTGCTTGAGTCTTGTACGCACTGTCATCGAGTACTTGTGTATTTTCTTTGATTCGTTCCATGATATGTAATGTAACGTTGTTTTGTACTGGTTCAGCTGTGGTTCGCATTCGCATCGAGTGGTTTGGGTTCGATATCCTTATGGTTCGAATCGTTGAACCATCCAGATGAGGAGAGGTTCGGCATTCAATTCCAAAACAAAGATGTGTGCATTCGTTATGAAAAGTATTTGGCTCACGTATGTAAGCTTTGCAAGAGGTGGTTTTTTCCCTAAAATAGTTTTTTTCGTCTACATAGATTTTTAGCGACCAATCACCCAACCTTCACTTGTTCACTAGATCCCTCGTTTTTCAGTGCTGATGGCGAAAGGCTTGAGTTTCATACGTTCGTTGCATTAAGACATCATATGTCTAATGTTCATCAGTTGGCGTATTGCCATATCTGCACAGATAATTTAATGTTGTTTTCAAGGTTGTAAATTGATCTTCAGTTGGTCTCTTCCGATAACTTTTTGCTTTTGTCTTATCTAGAGAAAGAAAGACATATACGAGAGACGCACTTCAACGACATATTCGATGTGGAGATAGAGAGGACAAAAGCTTGAAAGGTAATAAGTCATAAACTTATAACATCTGCTTAGCATATCCAATGAAATGTGTTCAAGTGTATTTGAAGTATGTCATATTCACGTAAACATGCTGTCCTCATTAGAAGAACATAAGTCGGAAATGTTCACCGCATTAATCTATATGCGAGTAATATTGTAGTGGTTTTCCTATAGTCTATCCCAGTAAGGAGCGGAGCGGTCGGAGGCGCACTGCAATACACATGGAATCGATGGCTGCGCCCCAGGCTGAATACTGTGAACTATTCTTTATTCTTAGGTTTAATAATACTCTGCGATGTAGAGTTTTTAGAAACAATAAGAAAGCTATTCGTGGTAATAATATCTTCATTTCATTTACGGTTAATGTAAAAGGCTTTTGTATGGTGTGTGTGTGTGTGTGTGTGTGTGTGTGTGTGTGTGTGTGTGTGTGTGTGTGTGTGTGTGCAGCGTTTCATCTGCGAAATAGGGTCTGTAAATTTCTTGCAGTTGCGCTGCACCTCTAAATGAGATAATTAGGCCTTTGTATAAAAAAGCTAACTAGTGAAAAGTACGATTTACAAATGTAGATAGGTCATGTGACGACAAGACTTCGTCATAGCCTGTATCGTATAAGCGAGACGAAGATATCCTAATATGGTGTGGAGCTGGTGCAGAGGAAGTACAATCGTTATTTGTTTAAAGAGTTTGAGAACAATCTATGTTAGTCATAGAATAGTCATAGCTGAGTTGATAAACATAATTACTGATTATTTTGGAGCTTACACTATTTTAAAAAGGCCACTAGTTGCAACATAGTGTAACGATCTCCAATGGTATTTCTTTAGTTGGGGGAATGAAGAGCGCTTAGTTCTTTCATTTTTTTTCATTCTCCTATCTTTTTTTATATTGTTTTTAAAAGTGAGTTCAACTGTAACTCATTCCAGTGCTTATTAAAACATCCACAATATAGATTAGTTTTTAGCACATGTGGCTGAAAATGATTCAGCCCGTCGGCTCCGTGTATATTCTCTCTGATTTTGGACTTCAATCATTCAGATAAAAGCTGTTAGAGTCGAAGCACTTTTGCGAATAATATATTGGTTTTGCTACTATGCTACGATGAAATAAATTGTGATGTCCAGGAACTTATGAATCTTTTTCTTTTTTGCTTCTTTATCGATGCTGTTCTCTTTGCATACACATGCCGACATAAGCCGTATATGACTCAGCTTTCCGTTTTCTGCTTCGTTTTTTGCGACATCATGGGTTTTTAGTGGCTTATATATAGAATTATTAATTTCCATGTTGTAAGTATTCAGCTGGAATTAGTGGAGAAAACCTATTTTCTTCGCGTAATGGTTTAAAAAAACCGTTTTGGATGAGTTTGTTCATCTGTTTATTTACGCTGTGATGGGTGATTTTTCGTTTGCACAAATTCTACCACATGGTTTCATGACATTTCATAACCTACTGCATCGATGGAATAACACATAAACCGTTCCTAATTAGGTGGTTTTCCGATCACCCTGTACTAATGATTGGTACTTTGGCAAGCATGAATCACGATGACTTATGCTTCCTGTGGCGAAGAACCACATGTCCAAGACAACTGGCTTCTAAATTGGGCGTCGTTGCGATTGTGTTGAGAAGACCTGCAGATGGAATGAATGGGTTATAGTTCAGCAGTACACGATGAATGTCTCGTAATGCATTGTTGATCTTGGTGGCTACGTTGAAATTTCGAAGTACTTTTACTGTCTGCTTTTTCACATTCAATCTAAAAATGGTGTTAAAAAACCGAGAACAAAGGCCTTTCTTCTACAAATTTGTCTCTTTTGTCCTTAAAGCTCCCTAGTTAGCGAGAGCTTGTTCTTGATTGTCGAGAAACAAGCGTTCTCACGAATGTGTTACGCTTTCGATAGAAATAGTTAACTACATTAACTGGCTGAAGATGTTTAAACATAATTGAGTAAACAGAAACGTTCTGGCGACGACGTATTTTCGGATTGGGAACTTAGACGTTTTGATTTTCTTCGTGATGTTTTAGATTCCTTATTATATTGTGAATAATTCAGGGCATCCTCTGTGTTTGTTTTGTGAGCAGCGGTTTTTTGACGAGGAATGCCGATATCGACACCTTCGCAAAGAACATTTCTTTTGTCAGTTTTGTGAAAACGAGGGTAAACACTTCAACATATTTTTCGGGTCCGTGAGTAGCATTTTGGTTCCTTTTATTTTTTTTTGCATTTTTCTAAAGTGTTACTTATTGATTTCTTTTTGATCTAATTGGCCTGGTCTCTCATATTATGCAGATCACAGCGCTTGTTTCATCAGATTCGCTCTTTTGCGTGTGTCGTCCACGAATCTGTTCGAATTTGCATGTGGATTCGGGTGCGGTTCCAGGTTTTGACTATATGCAATTGTCAAGCTTCATGAATTGCAGGAGTACGTTTCCGGACATTGTAATGCCCCAATGTGCTTACGCCGACGAGTCGGAGACTTGGTTGCTCTTTCGGGGGTCGAACCAGCCGTCGTGCAAGTGTAGAGCAGCATCGCTAACTGTTCCTGTTTCTTTTCCGCGATCACAGATTATTTGTTCGCGTTAATTTCTCTGGTCGCATTGGTGCACAAGTATATGTTTATGGAAATAATGGACTGTGTTTATGTGTAGCCTCCCAACGGTTTACCGCCTCATCGTGGCTGGGAGGTGTTCCCGCGTGTCGGACTGCGATGTACAGCGGAGAATTCATCCCCTGGCAAGGTTTCCAAGCTTAGGAGTCCGGCGTTTCCATCAGGAAGCTTAGCTAAGAGTAAACCAATACCAGGATCCACCACTGTTCTGGTGTCAAAGTCGCATGGTGGTAAATCTCCCTCTGATCCACAAGAGCCGCGACTGCCTGTGGTGGTGAAGACCTGGGGCAGCCTTTGGCCAGGCTGAACTCGGGACTCCGTAATGGTTTAACCGGCAAATCTCCGAAAAATGGAGATTATGCTGGGGTCCCCAGTGAGGACGGGCCATTCAAGTGTCAAGTTTTATGTAGACGTATTCTTATTTCTTTTCAGTGGACGCGATGATCTTATGTGTCACTACAAGGCAAAGCATTTTGTATGCGATGTCGAAGAATGTAGAGAACTGGGAGTAGTTTTTGCTAATCAGATTGATTTGAACCTCCACAAGGTCTGAAAGAGGTTTTTTACCGGTTTGACACATTTACAAGATAATGCTGTTTTTAGTCCAGAGAACATAGTGGTAGCCGTGGCGCTGTAGCACTCGACTTTCAATACAGCGATCGTCAGCTTGCTGGTTCATCACGGTAAATTTTAATAAAGTAACTGTTTCATGAAAAATCTTTTATCAGTTACGTTTTTCTTTTCCTTTAGACCAAAACGCGACGTTCCTAACGCTCAAAATGCTCCACTTATCCGTCGTGATAAAATTTCTGTTATTCAGCAAGAACAAGTTTCTCAACCTAGGCGGTAGTTTTATCTCGTTCAAAATAAAACTCTGTCATTCATCGCTTTCACCATTCATTCTAATTTCTTCTTTCAGTTCATTCATTCATTCCATTCACTTTTTTTGAAGCAGACCAAACGAATACATCGTTGTGCCGTCAGCTCAGAGCAATAATCGCGCTATTCGTTCCAATGTCTCACCATTATACACTCTTCAAAGTGAAGATTTTCCCAACCTAGGAAATTTTCCTAATTCTCTGACGGTATCTCATTTTTGGTTTGTTTTAATGATGAGTGATTTCTTCATATTCTTTCACTTTTGTAATTAAGAGTTTACGTTCTGATAACTTTGCTCGACTGAATCGGGTGAATTATGCAACTCTTTCGCATGGTAATTCATCTACGTCTACTCAATCAGCATTCAGGGACCCGTCTTCTAGAGACTTCTCCTCATCCTCGAGGAATATCTTGAAGAATGGGTATGTTTTATGTTGATCTGACTATCGTGTCTGTAGTAGCTCTTGAATGTTTTTTTTCTTTTTCTTTTGCTTGTTTGGTTCAACAACAGGTAAAATATTGTTGTCTGCCTAACTTATCGGTCAATCACTTTTTATCGCTTATTCGTGACCATATTTGATATGTCGGAAATTATCTTCTTCAATGTTGTCAGCTGTTTTCGTAAATTGCCGTTCGCAATGTGAAGAGTCCCAATTGACGATGATTATTGAGTTTTTTTTTCTCGAATTTTGTGACTTTCTGCAGAAAAAAGGTTTTTATGTGGAGAAGTCCATGAACTGGCTTCATGTAAAATAGGAAGCGTTCTCCTGGCTGCATCTTGGAATTCAGCTTACCGACAATGGCTTTTTCGAGCGTATGGTCATTTCGGTAGGACGTCTTCATGTACATAGAATGCCTCGATCTCCTCATCCCTAAAGCTATCTGTAAACAGCGTAACCACAAAATTTGTGAAGTCCGACAATGTTTTACACCTTCCTAATGGTAAATATGCAGTTTGTGTCGTCGCTTGTCCGTAGTACGTTCCTGATCAAGCAGACCTAGACGAGGATCAGTGCTATCGACTCCTGCCATAATTCCGGGAGAGCTTCTTCAGTTCCACAAGTGGTGCTTCGTAGGCTTTCTTGTTTCTACTCGGTCCAGTCCCTTCGTAGTTAATTGTCTTGGTTCGCTTCATTAAGTCTTCAGAAGCTTTCGGTTGTAACGTGATTCTAACTCCTCAATAGAATTTTCTAGTACTAGCGTTAGTCTAACTCCAGATTTTTGCCGTAGTTCACTAATATTTGAACGACATAGAATAGCCCAGACATTTTAGCAGCCTCTCCATATTTGTCCTACCCAGTTCTGTCGTATAGAGTAAGGAGAATGAGGCTTATTTGATGTATAATCTCCATTTTAGCAATTAATACCCATAAGGAACTGTCAGGGTGCGTGTAGCGCAGTGGTTGCAGGCACCTTCCGATACACATAGAATCGACCACAGCGCCCAAGGCTCACCAAGCCTTCCATCTCTCTGGGGTTGACTAATTGATACGTCTGGGATGGTAGCAGCACTGTCGCGATATATCGGTAGGCAAGCACGAGTAATCGTAAAGGCCAGATATGCATTTAATCACCTCTAACGATGTTGAATGAAGTCGAATGCGTGGCGCATCCCTCAGGGATTGATTAACGCCAAGTTTCATACTTTTTTATTTTTTTTAAGGAACTGTCGACTTTAAATGGAAAGTTTCATATTTGTCGAGCTCAGAAGAAGAGTTTGTGTGTTGAAGGCGATTCCGAAGTACATCCCACAGAAATTTCAGTCACTTGAACGCCGGCAAACTTTCTGGCGTAATCCATGTTTAGGATACCATCCCAATGCACAACTATTCCACAGACGTGTTCATCAATATGTTTGTATACAGACAGAAATTCGTTTCCTTAGAAATGGCTGTGTGTCATCTAGACTATTTTTGAACATTTTTAAGATCTGAGAACGCCGTAGAACATTTCCCAGCTCTGTCTGTATCACGTGGTCGAGGTTCTGTGACGTCTGCTTGGGGTGGTAAAAAGAGCTTTAAAGTGAGTTGTTTCTGAATTTGAAAATGCTGAAGACATTGTTTACGAAACTAAGAAGTGTATTGTCTACGTTTTTTTAAGTCGTACTTTTAGTCAGTTATTTCGGGAAACGAGGTGCCAAGTAACGTGAGGACCTTACCAGAACCGGATATTTGGCCGGGAAATATTTCTACACCATCTACAACGGATGTCGAGACAGAGCAGTGGCATGAGGTTTAACGATTTTTAATCACTCGCAAATTTAGATTTTCTTTTTTTTTTGGAATAAGTTACCTGTACTGGATCGCGTGTGCCATTAATACAAACATGGTCGCTGATTCGTTGCTAAACTGGATGAAACACCACCCTCTCTCCATCACCCGCGTCATTGCGATTGTTGTCCAGGTTATGGCGCCCTTATATCCATGAAATGCTGGCGACTGCATATTCCAGTGACCTAGAAACGGTCTAATAGATCATCCCATTACAAGTCATGCTTGACCAGTATTCTACGACATTCGCGAAAAAGCCAAAATCTGCAGGTTGCAACCGAGCCCACATATAAAAACGAATAGATTGATGAGGAACAATGCAAGAAATCGAGACGAGTAAAGGAAATACTGGAATTCACATACATATTCAGCAAACGAGCCAGATGGTAGATAGTCGCAAATATAGGTTTCTTCTAAGGTAGCAGCGATCCCTTTTGACTAGTTAGCTCACGAAATAGGGATTGGTATAATAGCTAAAACAAATTTTGAATCACTTTCTCTTTTTGGAATAGCAGCAGGGTTTTTCTAGATCGTAACCTCAAGTAGTTTCCGCCTTTATAGATAATATAAAGGTTTGCGTTCTTGTTAGGTTTCTGAGGGATGGACCTCTATTGTACGTTACCATTCCTTAGTCTAGAACCCACTTCCATATAGCTGTGAAATAAAAATTGTAGGGATAAACTACTTACAAGTCTTTGACAAGTGATAATGTTTGTATAGTTTAATCTTGCAGTATTTCAAGTAACGTCACAGTAGTGTTAATTTTAAAGTTGATAATTTGATGCTTTTAAGGTGCCTGGTAAACCCCGGAAGTTTGATAAGAAACAGCGACCAGCCCGGCAAAAGGCTGTTGTGCGAGAAAGTAATGATGTAGCAGGTACAGAGCAAAGACCATTCGGAAAAGAGTCAAGCGAACCATCGGTTATATCTTCTTCAAACTTTGAAAAAAAGAATGAACCAAGTGGACCGAGTAGTTCGGATGGAACGGTCGAAAACATGCTCCTTGATTTCACTAATGAAGAAAAGAGAAGAGAAAACGAGTGGTTAAAAAGGGAACAGAAGCCATTTGCCAATCCTGACAATGTAGAGAGGAAAGTACTAGAAAATGGGATGGACTCTCACGATCCCTCATCAAATGAGAAGTTTGGCGAGGACTCCCAAAGTGCTCTCTCTTCTGGAACTTGTGTTCACTCATCTTCAACCATTCATTTGGTGAGGATATGTATTCTTAATGTTAACTTTTTATTTACTGCCTATTTTAATTTTTCACGGCAGGTGTGACTTAACCACAATGTTGCTGAGATATTGCGAAAGCTTATGTAATAAATGTAATATGTGTAATAAACTGTCGGTAATGTCTGACCGAAACCTGGAATCTGAACATTGTTAAGAATACAATGGTGTTGAGATATTGGCAAAAGTTTTGAAAATATCTCATCATTGTGTTGTTCAAATTTCAGGTTTCGGTCAGACATTACCCACAGTTTGTTACACATTTGTTTATTTACGTAAATATATATATCCATATATATGTTCCATCTTACCGAGTTCTCTTTTTCAGCCCAAGCCTCATACTCCTTCAATGTTCTGCAATCTCTCTTTGTCGAACTTGCTTGATGTGGAACCATTTAAGAAGAATGAACCTCCATCTTTACACTGTTTAGCTACCGCCTCTAATAGAGGACCACAATCCCAGAAAGTCGCAGTTATTGCTCAGAATGTAAGTATTCTTCGAATTTCTACTTATTTGTTAGCAAATGTATTTCAGTTTTATAAAGTTTAGTAATGTCCCCAGGATCGACTTTCTAATCGGCATTGGAATATGAATGCGTCGTTTTCTTGTTCAGCAATCGCGAGGTTTTTAAACAGCATACATTTACTTCCATAGAGAAACACAATAAGATCACTCAAACTGAGAATGACTTGAAAATTTGTTTCCGGAAGCACTATAATTCACCCTATGCATCGGCAGAGGCCAACGAGATACACAGTCTCTTTTTCAAGCACAGTGGAAATAAAAATACCTCGTACCATAAATGCACAACTCTTTTCATAACTTGAGCAAGCGGAGCTCAGTGGAAATTTTTTAAGCACAACATAGACGAATAGTCTTTACTAGTACTTGGCCGAATTACTTAAGAATGGCTGATGTTGTGATTGGTGTATATTTTATTATTATTGTTTGTTATTAGTTAATTTTCTATCATTGTTATTAATTAATGCCATTGATTTTTTCAACAAAGGGCGCGTGTAGCGCAGTGCTCGGAGGCGCCCTGCAATACACATAGGATCGATTTCCTCTCCCACAAGTCACCAAGTCTTTCATTTCCCCGAGTTTGGCAAACTGCTACCAGGCTTGTCTGGAAGGATAGCGGCACTCGCTCGATACATCGGTAGGCCAGCGCGAGTCATTGTAAAAACCAGATATGCAATCAATCACTATGCTTCGTGATATCGAACACATTCCTCAGGGATTGATCAACGTCAAGAGCTTTATCTTTTTTTATTGTTTTGTTTTTTATATTATATTTTCATATTTTTCATACTTTACACTTACATTTTTTTTTACTAACTAGAGGGTGGAGGCGTATCGTAGTGGGCAAAGGTGCTTTGCAAAGCACATGGTCATTGGTTCAACGTCTCGTGAGTACCAACTCCTCCATCCATTCGGCGTCGGCATATTTGTAGCAGGTTTACATGGAAGGAAACAAAACCACTGACTTAATGCATCGCTCAAGTCATTATAAATGCCAAATATGCTCTGGTTCAGCTCTAACAATGCTTCATAACTTCGAATATATGGCGGCATCCACAAGGAATTAATATTATTGCGTGGGTATGGTATTTATTTAGATACGTGGGCTTGGAACAAAAGGAACAGGCCTCTGACATTCATTTTCAGCTGTGCGAAAATACATGATGGCTATTTAGATGGTGATTAACCTCACAATGGACTTTTTTATTCGTTGATTCATATTTCAAACCATATTTCCGTCTCCATTTCACTTTAAATATAGGTGATTTGCATAGTATTCAAATAGGTTTCAGGTCGACACTCCACCAGGGCTTTGTATTAGACCTTCGTCAACCAGCGATATTCTTCTGGGACCTCCTCCAGGATTTGAAAATGTCTGTATCGTCGATTCAGCACCACCAGGGCTACCAATTACATCTGTATCTCCATCTCCGTTCCCAAAGACTAATTTAATTTCTCAATCTGACACCAACAAAAATACTTCCATTGAAATCGTGCAAAAACCTGAAGACGAATGGTGCGACGCGAACGAGAACTAATATGTTAAAAATCAATGAGTTGACAACTGTCTTCTCTGGATTTGGTTTGCTAACGAATTTCATTCTCATTGGTCGTTTATTCTGGTGTATCTGTATCCACGACATCATGTTGTTTTTATGGGCCACTTTAAAATTGTATGCTTTGAAAGCTTGTAGCCGTTTAAAGGAAAAGTGATCGAGTTCTATTGTGATCTTCTTTAGCAGCACTTTTACATTGTTCGCCTTTTGAAAGTAATTGTTTCTTTCACTTTTTTATTTGCCAAAATTTGTCCTGAATACTTTCTATTTGTGCCTTACATGATATTAGGTACTATGTATTAGGCCAAAGGTATTTAGTAACCTAAGAAAAGAACCTCAAGATCCAAATTGTTTAAATTTATCTTTGGACTTATATTAGTGTTAGGCCATTAGTGGTGCACCCCGGTTATGGCTTAGGTTACTTTTAGCAGGTTTTTCCATCATCCAGTGAATGTGTCGTACAATTTACTTAATAGTTAGCAGGTACTAGTCGCGCAGAAAGTATGGATTTACTGGTGATTTCGTTATAATTACGGGAATTTTTTGTGAGGTAGATTTGGCCATATAAACATTAAGAGTTCAAATAAATATGTATCGATTTTAACAAAAACTTCATTTGGGATATGTACGTGGTAAATAATAAAGAAGGTATATAGCAGAACACTGGCAATCTTCGCTTCTATTTGTGTGGGGGCGATTCTACGTCTTGTTTTTTAAACTCAAAGCGCTTCGAAGTTAACTCAGAGTCTTGGAGTTGTCTTGACTTTGGGTTGTGAATTTTAATGACTGCTGGTGTATTAAATTCCTAGACTGGATTTGAAAAGTACTCAAATAAAATAAATAGCAAAATTTGTAAACTATGGAGAACCGTATATGCCTATAATAGAGCGAGTGAGAGTGTGGTTATTACGTGAAGATAAGTGTATGACTGAGAATATTAGCAGAAGTCTAGTAGCAACAAAAGGTGCTATTGTAAAAGTTGGTATTTCCATCTATACTGGAAGCTCAGGTTCGTTTGAAATAATTTGAAGAAAAATATTCCGGAAAGTGTCAGTGTTTCCACACGGGTTAATGCGGTAGTTCATTTCAGGTTTGTAGTAACCAAACATCAAATTCACTACCTCATCCAGAAATTATAGCGTGGGCTCTTAAGCAGCCTTCTTAGCAGTGAGTAAAAAAACTTGATGGAACGTTAACATCATGTGACTATGGTATGAATTGAATTTGTCCGAAGTGGCAGGTAAAGTTGCAATTTATTGCACAAGTAGTTTTTGTCTGATGGTGTTATCAAAGTCCAATTTGGACCAACAACGAGTGTTTAGAATTTTCAATACATCCTGTAAATCGTGTCATTTTTGTTTTCATTTTTACAATTCTTAGACAACAAAGGCTTGTTCAACGTACTTGTGGCTAGCCGGAATAGTTTAGCCACCCAACTTTGGGGAAAGATCTCTGCTGAGCTCACAAGGATTTATTTACTTTTCGCATCGTTTAAGTTTCATACTAAAGGAAAATCGTGGAGCAGACGAATCGATTCAGTACGATCGATTAGGAATAAAAGACCATAATTGTTATCACTTTTGGAAGAGGATGGACATTTTTCGCTTCCTATCCCCTTTCAAAAAAAAGGCTGTTATCAAAACTTCAATGACACTAAGAAAAGATTTCCATTATGTATTCGTTTCTTAGAGTTTCTGATTACAAAATGTGTCCAAGGCTGCAAATAAACATTGCTTATTATGAAGATTTATAAAAGCAAATGTAAAGATGGAGTCATTTTAATGTTTCGTTTAATAAAAAATACTTCTAACATAAGTTATGGATTTTCTCTAACGGTATGGTTTGCATCTACCATCATATTTTTGTTGAAATTTCATTCTTCAAGACATTAAAATGAGATACTAAAATGAATGAAAACTATTTCTAATGAAGTCGAAATCTGACTGTTTGATGCGTACTGCCAGTACATGGTGTATGAACAGTGCTGAAATAAAGAGAAAAGCTCACGACTAGCATCATTACCTGACAGTATTAGACAGATCGAGCTTCTAATACTGTACAGGTAAGACGCGAGTCGACGGAGTGGATGTGTAGAGTGAAACGAGTTTATGTCAACAACGAATAGTAGGGCGGATCAGGTTCTTGTAAGCCCTATGGGTGGTTAGGTAATGAGACGAGTACGATAGATGGTCGGTACTAAAGCACTGTATACGGTTGATGTTGATTACGACGGATTTGCATAAGCTTCAAAGCTACTTATCAAATATGTATACAGAAGACGGCGTATTATGATGTTACAGCTGTCCTGCGACGATCCGCCTTCTCAGAAAACGGCAAACAATCGCTTGGTGTTACGGTAACGACCGTGGATCGATTCAGTATTCTTATGAATATTCAAAAACGAAGCAGTTCGAGGAAAGATGATAGTGTTGAGCATACAAAAGAACCAACTTACTCAATGAAAACCCTAGAATTTTCAACTGATGCGCTTTCGGCTTCGTTTCGCAATTTCTGACATCTGAATTCTGATTATCTTCGGAAGTTTGGAATATAAATCCGGGTTCGACGTCTTACGTGGAGACGTTTGCGAACGAAAATGAAGCGAAGATGTTTCATGGTTGTGGAATGAAACAATAAGGGACAAGAAACAAAATCTATAGAAAACAAGTAAAACCGTATACATTTAAGCAGGACCTAAGCTGATCTATACAACTGAATTTGAAATGATTCCCACACGTATTCATAGTGTCATCGAATTTCATTTGGAGTGTGTGACAGTACCAATCTAAATCAACATGACAGCATTGATTGTCTTTAACTTATTATCACTTCTCTACTGTAGCAGAAAAAAATTGAAAGTACTGGTGCCATCGCAGGCATTCGATTTGGCACCAGCAAGATAGGTGGGAGTCGAAATCGACTGATAAATGGTTATCAGGACTTTTGGTAGCACAGTTTTGAAGAGCAACGTTGAAGACTGAGTGTATTGCTACGGAAGAAGCACCATACATCGTTTTATTCACACGGATTTGTGATCGATCGCCAATGTTTCTGAATATAGACGACGTCGACAAACTCGTAAAACTGTTGCCTATCAATGACATGATTTTCAAGCGAGGTTTGTAATCTTTGAGATGGGAGCATTCCTGATTGACTATGTAAAAGATAACTTCTCGGTGAGAATTTCAGTTAAGTTTTGAGTTTGAACTGAACTGAATACGAGACTGGATAAGAGATTGTGTTGGTGCTCAAAAATTCAAGAGAAATCAACAAGTCTGCACAGAAACTTCCATGCTGAAGGCAGAAAGAGGGTAACCGCTTATATCCTCAATGGTTGGACGTTACGGACGTTGTTTCGATCATGAACCTTGAGCAAACCAAGCCTGGTATGCCTTCAATGTGGACGAATTTGTACTATAATAGTCTGGGAATAAAACACTTACGTGGTGCATCGGTTAGCCATTATAAGTCATCATACAGACTGAATATGCAACCAATCATCTCTGTGATGATATATGAGTGGAGTAGAATGCATGGCTCATCTCTAAATAATTCGTCAACGCTAAAAGCATTCTCGTTTGATGTACCCACAATTTACAATGTTCACCTATCCACTTATTTTATATTTTAGTAACAGGCAAGAAACACGAAAAGAAACACCACTAGTGAATAAAGGATGAGTGCATAGGAGGCGGGAAGCGCAGTGATAGTGATGCCAATCACCACGAGCATGGTGCTGGTTCGACCGCGAGCCAGACTCACCAAACCTTCCATCCACCGAGGTCGTGAAATTGGTACCACAATTGCCTGAGGAACGCTCATCCTTTGCAGTCTAAGTGAGAACGTTCTAGCCCTGCTATTCCAGGACTCTTTCGAGAATCAACTCGACCAGCAGTTAAGGACATTGATAACGGGACAAAAATACTCAAGCAGCAATGGAACCCTCGCGCGAAAACTTGGAATACTTTCGTGGACGATGGATTTCAGGAAATAAGCCGAACGCAACGAGTGTTGGGATCCGTGCAGCTGATGCGAAGACGTGTCCTGTGAGATATAGAATAAAAAGTCAAATGACGAAATACACGGGAACGATTCAGAGCCACTTCCAACTAAACAAGCTTTACGACCATACCTACGGTTGGGCACAAAAAGATAACCGTCGAGTACACATAGCAACCCAAGAGAGTTTTTCTCTTATGAAGGACAAGTAATAGCAAAGATTTCATATGAAAAGTCTAATGTTTTTCGTCTGCGTTGAGAAATGGAGATAGTTCTGACGATCAACAGCGATAAATCTAGACCTCATAACAGAGGACTCTATAATAATGTTTAAAAGTATAAATGTTCTCGGTTTCATAAAATTCAATTTCGCACATCTATAATGGTCGCTGAGCAATACAAAAAGAGAGGCGTTTAGCACAGTGCTTTGGAGCGCACTGCAATGTCAACGAGGTCGTTTGTTTGACCCCATGCCCCGAGGTAAGCAAGTCCTTCATCCATCCAGAGTAACTGAAGTGGTGCCAATCTTCTGTGCAAGGATAGAAACACTGCCATGGAAGATGCGTAGGTCATCGTAACTCACTATGTAGACCAGACATGCATTCAATTACATCTACGATGCGACGAATGGAGCCGAATGCATGGCCCCTTCTTAACTAACTGATCAACGCCGAACGAATTATTTCTTATACTACGTAAAAGCGCATTATAAATTGTCGCCAAGATATCATAAACCATGCATTCTGAGCAGTTATTAAATTGTTAGCGAGACTTGCTAGTCTGTTCACAGGTTACAGCATTTGCGAGATGCAAGCGAACTTTGAACTGCTGCCGAATATGTTCGATTTACTTGGTTGTAATTCGTCTCCAACACAGTTGCTCTGTTATGATAAAGAAGCAAGCTAGCGGAAATGTAAAAACCAGTGTAATCACTCGAGACGACACGACCACAAGGGCAAAGGGCACGTCTAAGCATACACGATCCGCCAGCCGAAAAACTAACTACGGCCGATCAGAGTAGACATTCTGGACTCGGTTAGACGTCCTTCGTTTAAAGCAGTACGCTCACTTATTTAAAATTACAACCAGTATACAGAATCCTGAAGACTACCGTATGTGAACCGTTCATATGTAGATGAAAATCACAGCATAAACTTACAGCATCGCCGAGCTATAGCAAACATTTAGTGCAGTAAAATTTATCAATAAGCTTCAGTTCGTACGTGCGGCAGAAAGCTTTATGCTAGTTACGTTACCTTTAGTCTGTTAGTCCCTGGATAATAAAGAAACTGTGGATTGGCTGCATAAACTGATATCGGCTGCAAACTGCCTATATACCCTAGTTGGAAATGACCACCTTCCGAAATTTATGAAGTACAAGAACAAACTGCCCGAAATATTGATGGACATTAGGACTCCTAGGGCAAATTGTTTGAGTTAAATCACTTTGTTTGATTGACTTATGTCGACCACTATAGTCGTATCGTACTATGTCGAACCAATTTGTAATTCATGAGTCGCAGCTGCTACGCACTCAAAATCATCTGTGAGAAGCGAAGCAATGAAGAGTTTTGGTGCTAAGGATCTCTGGATCACCTTCTATCAGATGCAAAAAAATATACATGCCAAGTTTGTCACATAATAATGCAGATGGAAATACTTATGCAAGATGAAGTTGCAGAATGTTTCTATTGACCAAAACTAGTCTTGGTATTTATGGCGATTAGTAGTAGTACTCATCAAAAAGAAAACGAGAACAAAGAGAAAAGAGGTTTCCTAGTGACTGCTTGCACTTTTTGATCCTAACCGACATCTGGATTCATTAGGGATACAGTTAGTTATATTCCTCGGAATTTTTCTCCACATACTGCAGAACGTTGTTAGTACCTGCATTTAGCATACCATGTTTCAAAAAATCAAGTATTTTTTCAAAGGCAACAAAATACCACTTATTAGCTTCCTACATACTGCCAATACTGGACGCTTGTTGATGAATCTTTTAGAGTCTTAGAGATCATGCATTCGACTTCATTTGTAGCACTCTAAAGCCAATTGAATTCATGTCTGACATATACAATGGTTTAAAAAAGCCTATTGATGCATCGCAAAGAAGCCTAGTACCAATTCATCTGATCCCGGATGGACGGGAGGCCGGCTCGGTGTGAGGAATTGAACCATGGTCCATGCATGCATCGCAGAGTACTTCTGACAACTGTGTTACACACCCGCGAACTCGTTAAAAATACACAATGTGTAAATATTTACCACTATTCATTAAAAAAAAGTATTTGGTTAGTGTATTTTAGCAGAGAAAATTAGCACCACATGTTTTACAATTACGATGGTGATGATTTATTCGGCTTCTTCTCTTGAGATAGGACAGAACTGTAGCCAATGGTGAAGGAACGACGAATTAGAACAACTAAGTTGCCAATGAAATAGTATAAGTGGCGACTAGGCAAACATGTATGTAGCCCTTGTAGATTCTCAACGGAAAGAGGATACAAATAAGGTCAACAAGCACCCAACCTCATCATCACTGAGCCGCTTTAGCAAGTACTGTTGGCAAATAAGCGGCTCACCTTCTACAACGAAAGCATGTAGGCTCTGAATAAGTACTGATGACGCTCTCCTGAATAACCAAAGTTTGAGACGATCTCAGTATTAGTGAGTTCAATAGCACTGGATCCTTAGCACTCAGTAATACTTTCTGGATTACCGTAGCCCAACTCCATATAGTACTCAATGAGAAAGAAATGGGTTTATTGAAAAGTTTTAAAAGATTGTAAACACTATCAGAACTCGTGCAACATTGTGATAACCGCAGTAGTAAGAAACTTTAAAGTAGTGTCTACTGTAGTATCTCAGTACTTGTATTTTTGTATCCATATATCCATATTTTGTACAATGATGTATTTTTGTATTCATGTAACATACAACAATTTTTCAAATGATTCTAGATCACCTATTGTGCGGATCCCAGCATTTCTTCCACTGCTTTCGCTTCCTCGTGTCCATCCTACTTGAAGATCTGCGGATTTTACGTATGGATTTCGCTACCATTTTAAAATCCTGCTTACCTTCATGGATGCCGTCGGTCCAATGTTGGTTGTGAAGTTTCTCGCTTGAATCCTGGGATAGTTCTGCCAAGACGTTTTCCAGTTTTAACTACAGTTAGCAACGAGTATTTCCTCATTGCAAAAGGATTGAGACTTAGCCGACCCAGGAAGAAGGCAAACTAGGGTCTGCGCGTGTTATTGAGCAACATCTCTAACACTTCTACAATGGCTCTATGTGCTCACCTTCCACATACAGTGATAATAATAATAATAATAATAATAATAATAATAATAAATTTTTCGACGATACGTCTGTGAATCAAATAGCACGATGAATTTTTACTAGCACGCAGACTTGGATAACATACAGAACACAGAAATGCAGCACTTCATGTTCTACAGTAATGTAAGTGCAAAAGTGACATTCTAAGAAGTTCGAAAGAAAGAAGAAGTTATAGTAATGACATGTCAACTGACATGTTCAAGGCCTCAGTAAAGCATTTAAAATTGTATTTGGGGAAAATACTCAAGAAACTATTAAAATTCGCTACATTAAACATCACCGTTATCTGACTAACTGAAGGAAACGGCTTAAGAACAAGCGGAGAAAACTCTACAATTTCAAAATTGACATCTAAACGAGCAATGTAAAAGTTGATGGTGACCCTATGTCGATTCATTGGCACATGAATCCGCAGTCTAATAAACTAAGTTTGAATATGTAAACAGTAAGTATGATTTAAACTAACTTTTAGAATCAATGTATCTCTTCACCGGTAAGGTAGCACCAAGTTACAAGCATCAAGTACCATGTTAAAAACTTTATTCGGTTCTAAAAAACAACCTAAAGGCGATGAACCTCGGGTTAGTTCATGAATCAAAAAAGTACATCGATTTTTACATCATACCGAGGTTAAGTGAAAGTCAACATACAAAAGTATAACGTTTGGGACTTAAAACTGTTACGTTCACGAAGAGTACCAGTAACGTAAAGACAAACACCAATAAAGAACACTGAACACGGCATAAAATATCTCTTAAAACTTCGAACTGTTGTTTCGTTACGAGGTTCGGTTAAGTGTCAGGCATTTGCTGATGTTCTTGTGACGACTTGTTTCTGAGCCACAGTCGCATGATGGATAGTCATTCGACGACGATGGTAGTAGTAGATCGGCATTATCAGATATTTTAGTATTGCCCAAGGAAACAGTTGCATTGATAGTAACTAAAAGAAGATAATATTTAGAAGAACTTTATACAGGGAATCTTGCAAGGTTTAGTGAATAATATTATTATGAAGTTATCCTATTTGCTGTGGGAAAAAGCAGGACAAAAAGAACAAAAAGTGCGTTTCGAACTCGCATTTACACTTTTCAAGGCTCTCGTATTATCCACCGCATCATCCAGGTCTTGCTTTGCTCTTCTCTCAACCAGTTTTTTTAAACCCCAATGGCGTCATCAGCAGTCATCCGTCAACGGGATCGATTAGGGAGCACAAATTGACATTCAAGCCACTTAGGCTTAAGCTGCAGTCGAAACCACAATGTTCAACTTTTATTTTTTTTCATTTTTTTAGGCTACGTCACTTAAATTTTTAAGCTTTAACTGAAACTTGGGAAAAAGACAAAGCAAGCGCCTCAGTTAGTGCAGTGAATGGCACATGAGCTTCAGGAAAGGGTTGTAATCGCAGGCTCGAAGAGTAGTTAAGGCTCTGTGGTTTGCTTATATCTTAGCACTAGCGCGGTTGAATTCCACACAGCACTCCCTGTCGTGAGTGAAAAAATAATAGGAAGTAAATAAAAGTTAAACGCTGGACGAACGACAAGTGCTCTTGAGTTATTTTATTAAACCTGTTTGTACATTAGTAACTGTTTAAAAATAGAAAGACTTCCGTTTTGAACTCTCTTTTTTTACCAGCACAAACAGTAGTTAACTCTTAGGATGACGTACTCACTACTAATTAAGAAAATTAAGAACATCACGCCATCCTTGTTACCTGGTTGAGTGGAACATGTGAAAATCATCCTCTAGCCAACAACAGTTTTCTTAAATTTAAACGTTATCAATCATGAACTATCAAACACTTCGACAAAGTCTTGCCATTGCAAGTTTACACACCATCGGTTGGAAAACGAAAAAACCAATAAAGAAACTTTTCATAGTGTTCACAGCTTAAGAAGAATGAACTAAAAGTAGAACGAGAGAACTGGCCCCAAACGCTTCTGTGTCCCTTGTTTTCACTGGAAAACTTAACATTTTATCCTTGATTAGGCCAAAAAGCGTTATATGATGCCTTACTTGGATTTCATGATTGAAGCAACCAGTTGTCCTTTTCGTGAGACCAATTGTATTCACTGCTTCTTTTGCCAAGTGTTCTGGCGTGACCACAAATAGTGAGCCCTTCTGAAGAAAAAAGCCCATCAATATTTTATGGATGTTGTTTTTAAAATTATTACTGATTCTTGCATAAAAAATGAGGAAAGGTGCACATATGTGGAGGCGCGCAAACTGCAGCGGTTATAGGTGCCATGCAATTCACACCTGGCTGTCGGTTCAACCTCATACCCTGGTCGACCTCATCCTTTAGCGACTGCGGAGTCGGTAAACTAGTACCAGACTTGTCATTGAGGACAAAAATACTGATGTGATATTTTGGTAGGTGAACACAAATTATTCTGTAGACCAAATATCAATATTTATATCTCAGCGATGCTACGAATCGAGTTAAATGAACGAAGCATCTTTGAGTGAATGGATACTTACTTGCATACTTGAATGCCCTTCTTCACTGGTTATGCGGACCTCAGCAAAATTTCCACTTTTTCGGAGTTTTGCTAGTTTAACTACTGCGGTTCCCTAGAGTCCAGAAAACAGCCTAGCCAAAGTCTGCCCCAGGTCTTTATTATCACAGGCAGTCGCTGCCCTTGTGGATCAGAGGGAGATTTGCCACCATTCGACTACTTTGGTACCAGGACGGTGGTGGATCCAGGTATTAGCTTACTCTTAGCAGGGCTTCGTAATGAAAACAGTGGCCTCCTTCTCACCTTGAAAGACCCTGCTGGGGAGATGAATTACTCCGCTGTACATCGCAGCTCGACGCTGAGAAACACCTCTCTTTCACGATAAAGTGGTAAACCTTTGGGAGGTTTGAGTGAATGATCAACGCAAAATTCTTTATTGTCTATTACTCATGTGCTGTTCTTAAACGATTATAGTTACAAGTTTAACTCCTTCAGATCGAGATTTTTCGAAGAACTTGTGAAATTAGTGTAATGTTCAGGATAAAATGAGATTTTGCCAAACTTCCCTGTAAGAGTTCACAGTATTTTAGCAGGAAAGATAAAATACTGCAACTTGTAAAGCGTTTTTTGTGATCAATTTCGCCATACCGATGCATAAAGTTCATTTTTAAGGGGGTCATGGAAACACATCCAAGATGAGAGCAAATGAGGTCGATCGGCGAAGATGTGTATCTTATCAAAAGTGCGACCAAAAAATCTCGATAAAGATCTACACATTGTTCACCCAACAATAGAATGTTTTGGAAAAATAAACATCAACCGATCTATGAACTAAAACTAGAACAGAAGTAGAATTTCTTCATAAACCAAACCAAATTTCATTTGTTGGTGTTGTTGTTGTTGTTGTTTTTAATAGAAGAATTACGCAAAGAATTATGCACATCATATCCAATGATCCATAGATTCAAGGATTTTAACATAAAGTAAGGAATGAAATGTAGAGAATATTCACAGAATTATGGTAAACGGTGTCTATTCATCAATAGCGCTCCGAACGTATAATGATCAGGAGGAAGAATCCTCGATGAGAGAAAACGCACTTACTTCGATGTAGACCATTTTCGTGGCGACCAGTGCCGGTGTCAGACATTGAACAGAAATCGTCTTATATTCTCGATCTATACATTCACATAGGAATGACAATAATGCCTGAAATTTATAACACAATAGGGAAGAGTTACCACTGCTTTTGATGTTAGCATAACTGTTACAGAACACTCAGTTCCTAACACAGTTAACGACATTCATTGTTTTTATAGGCCATAGGATGTTTACACTATTTGGCAGACGGTTTAGTGTGATCGCTACAAAAAACCATATATGAAACCCAATTTGTTCTTAAGAACTTCCTCCTAACGAACTCGCTCTTCTTCACAGCCTGTTTCGTTTGCTAAGGAGTGAAACCGTACCCGTATAATTGTTCGCATGTGACAATAAATTGTACAACATCCCTCATTTTTTTTTACTTTGTAAGAAATCAGAAATATGTGTTAACAACCTGGTGCATTTATTCATGAAGGAAAGTCCACCAGAGCAAAAGAACTTTATAATTTGAGCTAAGGTTAACGTAAAATCGGTCTTTCGAACTACTGTGTGAGAGCCACTATGGGCAGTTGTACTGTCAAAGCTATAATCGATTTTATTGACCGAAGTTCATAATTTAAAAAAATGGTTAGTAGACGAAATAATGGAAGTTTACTAGACTTTCTATGAGCTCAACAAAAAACGCTCAACATAATGCTGACGAAAATCGGGCATATTGATTAGTCGGCAGAAATCAATGAGCAAGAATTGCACACTGTAGTGTATTGGCGCGCGCGCTCGTGAAGCACTTCTTTGATCACACGGTGGTTTGTTTCAAACCATGAAGGAATTTCTTCATCACTATGTTTTGTTTGGTTTATTCTTTACCTTAGACGCTGAATAGGCTGCTAGAAGAGGAATTGGACGATATCCCTGTGATGAGGACAGCACAACGATTTGACCGCCTCCAGATTTTTCCATCGGTGGTAAAATCAGAGACATAAACTGAAGGGATTTCAATCTTATTGTTGATGAAAAATCTCAGCTATCGTCAAAAACACCTCGGCTGCTCCTAGACCGTTCACTTTCAGAATTCTACGATCAGCATCTGGATTATCACCGTAACGTTCGAGATTGTCTCGTCCAACACCGACACTGTTCACTGAAAATAAGATCACACCAGTGCAAAATCAACACTACTACTCACGACCATGATAGTACTAAATAGCATTAGTGAAAATCATTCAATAGGTAACGACCCCCGTAATTTTGACTCTACATCACAAGCTTCTTCCAGTAATGCTTTCTAGCAACAACGAGAAGGTAAATGGAAGATAAGACTAGTTCTTCTGAATAGATTTCCAAATCCATACCGGCAAATCCGACATCAATATCCGAAAGGAACTTTCGTAGCCCTTCATAATCATTGGTATCGAAATCGAAGAGATACGTTTTCACACGACATCCATACGATAACTCTAGAACGAGGAAGAAAGAGCTTCGAGTTTTCCCATCATTCAGATAATCAATATAGACATTCATTCTCTTCTTACTTCAATACAAATAAAATCAGTAGAAAATGTACTGGAAATCACTCGCAAATGTCAAACAAAAATCTGAACATCATCGCTAAAAGAGTTTCTCTAGTTTTAGAAACAGCATTTATAACACATTAACAGAAAGCTATTTTAAGAAAACTAACTCACCTAGAAACGTTTTAATGTCGCTGAGTTTCACTTGATTTCTCCCAATTAAGATGAACTTCCTTAGGCCTCTTTTTGCTAATTCAATTGTATACGCTTTTCCGATACCGTCTGTCCCACCGGTTACAACTGAATGAAATTTAATAGTCGTCCGAAAATGTGCTAGTCTTAGCACTAGTTTCTTACTGAATTCATAGCATTTTTTAAAATGATTTATTGACAATTATTACTCGGACGTTGTCTATCAGAAATTGTCCCTTTTCTTCTTTCCTGGGGTTAACGCGTCCACCATCAAGCCACGCGGGTCCTTCTTTTCGCCTGTCTCACAGCCGTTCTTTATAGGTGCTATCAGCAGCCACTCGTAAAGGTGATTCGAAGGGCGAAGAACTCGCATAGTGTCGTGGTGAAGGCGCTAATCGCCAGAGAGGATAACAGCGTGTTCGATCCCCACCGTAAACAACGGCAGCCCGGAGTTTTATAAATATCTCAGCACCACCGTGGTTATGTTTCACATCATACCCTGCCATGAGAAAAGAGAAGTCAGCAAACAAAAAGTGACTACATGATTCCTCTTTCATTTCCGCTGCCTACATTTTAGCTGTTTTCTCTTAACGGCGCCATTTATCACAGCATTTGTAACAGAATAATTCCTGGAAAGAATGTGGACAATCCCACTATTTCATGGAAGAAACCTATACAATTTTAACCCTGAGAGTCCATAGCTGGCTTTTTAGTGAAATGCTGATAATTTTTAAATAATCAGAATACTTGAGAAATTGAAAACGTAAATAGCTTATACGACAGACTTTGCTCTATCAACTTAAGAGCAACTATGATTTGTTGACACCGTATGCTGTATTAAAACCGACAGTGAACTTCTAAAGGAGTGGATAGTGCAGTGATAGTGATAGCGATCATCATGAGCATGGTTCTGGTTCGATCTCGCCCCAGGCTCATCAAACCCGTCATTTCTCCGAAGTTGGTAAATTGGTATCGGAATTGTGCGGAAAAAATCACTCTCTGCAATCGAATTCGGAACGCTCCAGAGCGAGTATTTCAGGACCGCAGGGAAAAACGACTCGACCAGCATTCTACGGCATTCAGGATGAAATGAAAATCCTCAAGCAGCAGCCGATGCCACACATAATAGTTGGAAGAACTTCGTGAAAGATGGATGCGAGAGAACGAATCGAATATGAGAGAAGTGCTGGGATCCGGTTAGTAGACGTGAAGACGGGACGTATAAAATAAAACATAAAAAATTGACTTCTGAAGCTGCTTAGGGTTCAAATTTTCTGAAGAATTATAAAAAAGAAATTTTTTTTTGATTCCTAACGAAATCCCGGCAGCCATGAACATTAACGAACCAGTTGGAAACATCAACGTGTCCTAATGGATAAAATGCCGCTGATTCAATTGCTTTCATTCTCGAAATACCAGCCTCGCCGAAAGAAAGCGACAAAAGAGCAATTTCTGGGCTCTATAAAATCAGGATTTCATATTGATAGAGGTGTAGATCTTTTACCGTACTGACAGAGATCAGTAGATAATAATGGATTCCGTTTCAATCAATAATTTTCAGTGTGGGAAGAAATATGTTGACTTAGAGTTGCTAGCCGCCGTTATTTTTGCACCGTATGCGTAGAAATCAACTCGTGCCCGGCTCTATATGTTAATATTTCAAGAAGAGAACGTGAATAATCACAAGGGAACGTGTAAAATCACAACCACAACGTGGACAATCGCATGTCTCATTTTACAGCACACTGATATTTCGAACACTATTTCTACTAGTATTACTAGTACCATCAATCTGCATTTGTCCACGTTATGCGCCAAAACTCTCCAGTGAGTTCTGTTTGCTTGACATACAAGAAAAACGTGAAACTTTCCGTATGAAATACTTTTTTTTAACTTCTTATGCCTATTCGAAATTTTAGAGTTTACCTGTCCATCGATTCACATATGGTTTAAGATTTGGTGTATAGAACAATGGTGCAACCAAATAGATGAAGATCACCTTGATCAGCACAAATATCGTCCTAAATCACTCACACTAAGATCACATGGGGAATTATCCAACAGAAAGGATGGTAAGGTCACTATGAGCTCTGTGATAGCATCACTTACTAATTAACAGAACTGAATTTCAATGTAGTAGTCTTGTTCACTGAGCAAAAATATTTTTGGATATATTGTAAAATTGTCGAAAGGAAAATTGAAAATGGTAAAAACGAAAAAAACTAGAATGGAAACTTTATGTTAGCAGTATTCTCTGCTTTCAATTTTTTAGAGAGCCATTCACTCACTCCATGTGATACTGAACAACCATGCTTTATAGCTAGTCACACAAAACTAGCTGAGAGAGAGTCCAAAGGAAGAACCCGCATGGTGTGGTGGTGAGCGCGTTACTCTCCGGGAATGACAATAGCGCGTTCGTTCCCCACCGCAGACACCTGCGGTCCGGGTTTTTACAAATATCTCAGCATCATCTTGGTTATATTTAACATGATACCCTGCCGTGAAAAATTATACTAGGCAGTAAGTAAAAAGGTCAAGATAGCCATACATTATTATTTGTAAATGGCAACTTTCCAATTCGTCACCAATGGATCACATTTCTTAACAGTTCATTTACAAGAAGTATTACTTTCCACGACACTGAAAGAAGAGAACTACCAAATGATTTTCCAATCGCTTTGAAACCACTGTAATATTCTCTCAAATGGTATGCATTTCGATCATTCCCGGAGAAGAGTTCATTTCGGACGTCACATCACGTCATCCAAGTTGATGAGGTTGACATCTTCTTTCGGTAGTTTCACAAAGGAATAAATTTATGCCGCCATATCACAGAGACGCTCTAGGCTTGTCGTCTAAAGCAGTCAAACTAAATGTAATGTAAAAACTTGTTTAACTGTCTTTTCAGTTGCTTCGTCTGAGTGAGCAGAATTCACAGAGCAACCGTGACATACGACGGAACAGATGGAAACTGTACAAGTTCCCTGATCGGTCACGTCACTTGATAATTGACGACACTATGGCACAGGTGACAGGAATGATTATGACATAGGTATGCAAATACTGTTGATTTTGTTTGCCAATGAGGAGACCTACAACACCATGTTCAAGGTTAGGATTGCATTCTAGGGTTTCCGAGATCAGATAGTGTTTTGGACTTTGGGCACAGTGGCCACTGTAATTCTCGGTTCTACCCAGAGCTTTGGGAGGACCAAGTTTGGGGTCGATTAAATTGTACCAGACCCGTCCGAGACGATAAGGAGCACCGAACTGATACATCAGTAGGCATGGTAAAAACCAAATTTGTATTCGATCGCCTCTACGATTCGATACGAATGGAGTCGAATGCATGGCGTTTCTATTGGGGATTGTTTAGCGTTCAGTGCTCATTCGTTTATAAGGTGTTGAGTTTCACACGAAGAATGCATCAAGCATAAGTACCAAGCAAATGATAAATGCAGCTCATGTTAAACTAAACAAATCCCTGCTGGTCTCCCACTATTTTGATGAATTCGGCACTTTCAGCACGTTACGTGAATTTTCATCATCCAAATGCTTCGTGGTAAAATATTTCACTTTTGCCCCTTCGAAAGAGCAAAATACTTGGCTCTTCAATTAGATGTTGACAAAGATGGTAAACTGGTTGATACAAAACGATCTCACACTTCAACGAAAAAACCAAGCAATATGTTGATGTCCAACTCTACCAAGTTGGTTATTTCTTATAATATTTATAGTGTATAGGAAGGTTATAGCAAAAGAACACTAAAATACTGGCCATGTTACCACTGCTCTGCTCGATTAGTGTAATTCATTGTCTTTTGTTATCACAGAAAGTGAATATGAAGAGAAGGAGTGTTCAAAAAAGGAATACTATCCGATAGAATGTTCAGGAAAGAATATGAATTTATAAAAATCGCCTACAGTACCTGCATAGGCGATATCCCACGTAAACGAATGGAATAGTGCTTAGCATCATCACCACGACAACAGGCGGACGTGGGACTGGTATCCACGGCCGAAATGGGAGGAGTTCGGGGTATTTCCGCTGGAGGTGTTACAGTCTGAAAGCACAGAGCGACGATGAGATAGTACGAGACAAAGACACAATCGGCGTGGATGATGTTCCTACGACAATAGCTCAGGTGACCTTCCAAAGGCCATGGAACGTGTTCGACCACTAACGGTTCGAACTGAATTCCACGGAGTGCATTGGTGTTTTTAAAAGGTCGGTTCGCTTAGCAGAGTAGAAGTCTAAAGTTCGATCCATCATATGTCCCGATTCTTTGTGATCGTTTACGGTAATGGTTGTTAACGATCGTCGATCGTATTTCTAGCCAATTCGGCGATATGTTCCGAATTCGTATCAAAAAGAATCAGTCCATTTTGCATGGGCTGAACTCTGTGCGTTGAGGGTGTTACGCACAAGGCTAGATCATGGTAAATCGGATGACCTTCAAAAGACGATCAGACGTATCCGAGCACGAATAGAATGAACTCCACAGGCTACGTTGGAGTTTAAAACACCATTACATGGCCGTCGTCTTCCATAACAACTGAAGGACATTCATTCAAAGTGCTCGCAGACTGTACCAATGTAAACAAGTCGATCACGCGAAATTTCCCTTGAAGGACACCGTATTTCCTTTCAAATTTCCATGATATAGTATTCAGTATATTACTATGATTCGATCAAAGTTCACTTTTCAACTGAAATCGAACTGTTGGTGAGCGATCCGGCAAATTATAATCAACCACCCGGTTCCTGTCTATTAACTGGTTTTACATTTTTCTTTCCATTTATTCAGTTGTTGAAAAATCTGTTAAACTAGAGGAACAACACCTAGTGAAGCAGAGTGGTCACACGAACACATTTTAAAATCACAAGTGACGTCTAAATTGCTACAGAACAAATATGGTATCATGCAACTACTAAATAATAAAAAGTATCAGTCATGTAAATATCAATTCTGGATTACAAATTTCGTTCATATGATGGACCCCGAGACAGTAATCGAAAGGTCAACATATAGCAGATGCTATGCATTCCAAACAATGGGGGGTCCAGAGCAGCCAAGTGGCCGGTATGACCTCTGCATGAGTCATTTTCTTTTTGGTGGTGCATTTTGACGCACAGGAATCTTTTTCTAAACTTCTTGTAATTGATCGACATTTTAACCGATACCAGAGGCTACGAAGGAC